TTTTGAAACACCAATGCTATTAAGTTGAAATTTTTACTGTAATGATTGAGGTAGTCATCACTCTTGGGTATGACCTTCATTTGTTATTAAACTCTTTCATATACCTTTAATATCCCATAGTTTTATTACGCTTTCTCTGATCCACTGTGTCTCCAGCCTCCCCATCTGTTTTCTTCTCAAGGTTCCCTCCCTCCCTCATTGCCCGTAGCAAGTTTCATCTCCTTTTAGTCTTCTCTTGGGGCACTTCCTCAAACCTTTCATTTCACTTGGCCTCTGAAGGTTCTACTGAGCTCTATCTTACTAGTAATAAAGACATAAATAAGAGATAAGGAAATTGCTGATTTCAAAACCGATTGGTCTCATGTCTAAAGACTAATTGCTGTTGTCTAAGACAGTCCTAGAAAGGACTTTACATGGAGAAATCGGTGGTTCCTTTTTTTTCATTCACTGGCTCCTTCAATGAATACTGATACAGTGCTTTTTATATACATACACTGCTCTGGCATAGTAGCATTTTAGCACAATGGACTCAATGTAACAGTAACAACAGACTTCAAAAATAAACCATAGTTCTTTGAGGAGATCAATAAAATTAATAAACCTGTATCCAGGCTGATCAGGAAATAAAGAAGAAGACATAAACTACCAGTATCAGGAATGAGGGTCATGATCACTACATACTGTATCTATAGCTATTATAAAGATAGGGCGGCCAGGCGTGATGGCTCATGCCTGTAATCCCACCACTTTGGGAGGCTGAGGCAGGCAGATCACCTGAGGTGAGCAGAGTTTGAGACCAGCCTGGCCAACCTGGCAAAACCCCATCTCTACTAAAATTACAAAAATTAGCTGTGCATGGTGGCATGTGCCTGTAGTCCCAGCTACTTGGGAGGCTGAGGCACAAGAATCACTTGAACCCAAGAGGTGGAGGTTGCAATAAGCTGAGATGGCCCCACTGCACTCCAGCCTGGGCAACAGAGTGAGACTCTGTCTAAAAAAAAAAAAAGGGGAATATCATGTCATGAACATCTTTATGCCAATATATTTGCCAACTTAGCTGAAATAGAAAAATTCCTTGAAAGACACAGATTACCAAAGCTCACTCGAGGAGTTGATAACCTGAATAGCCCTATATCTATAAAGAAATGGAATTGATGTTAATAAAAACTTCCCACAAAATAACTCCAGATCCAGCTGGCTTCAGTAGTGAAGTCTACCAAACACTTAATGAAGGCATAATGTGATTCAAACTGAAGAAGATTGCTTCTAAGTCACTCTACAAGACCAGCATTACTATGACACTAAAACCAGAGAAAGGCATTTCAAGAGAAGAAAACTAAAGACCAATATCTTTCATGAAAATACATGCAAACATTTTAAACAAAATTTCAGTAAATAAAAGTCAACAACATATTAAAAGGATAATACAACATGGGCCAAGTGGGATTTACTCCAGGAATACAGGATTGGTTTAATATTTTTTAAAAATCAGTGAGGCATAGTGGTTCACGCCTGGCATTCCAGCATTCTGGAAGGCTGAGGAAGGAGGATCACTTGAGCCCAGGAGTTCAGGGCCAGCCTGGGCAGCATAATGAGAATGAGTCTCTACAAAAAAATTTTTTAATTAGCCAGGTGTGGTGGTGCATGTCTGTGGTCCCAGCTACCTGGGAGCCTGAGGTGGGAGGATTGCTTGAGCTCAGGAGTTCAAGGCTGCAGTGAGCTATGGTCATGCCACTGCATTCCAACCAGGGCAACAGAGTGAGACCCTGTCTCAAAAACAAAATAAAAATCAATGTAATTTACCATATTAATAAGTTAAAAAAGAAAAACCTTATGAGGCAGAAAAAACATTTGACAAAATCTATCTGTTCTCAATAAATACTCTCAACAAAGTAAGCAAGCATAGAATGGAACTTCTTCAATTGATAAAGGACACCTATGAAAAACCTACAGTTAACATCATATTTAATGATGAAAGACTGAATGTTTTCCCTCAAGTTATTGATTGATTGATTGATTGAGATGGAGTCTCACTCTGCTGCCCAGGCTGGAGGGCAGTGGTACAATCTTGGCTTCCTGCAACCTCTGCCTCCCTGGTTCAAGTGATTCTCCTGCCTTGGCCTCCCAAGTAGCTGGGATTACAGGTATCTGCCACTACGCCCTATTTTTTAGCACTACGGCTAATTTTTGTATTTTTTTTTTTTTTTAGAAGAGACGGGGCTTCACCATGTTGGTCAGACTGGTCTCGAACTCCTAACGTCAAGTGATCTGCCTGTCTTGGCCTCCCAAAGAGTTGGGATTACAGGCATGAGCCACCATGCAGGCCTTCCTCAAGATTAGGAATGAGACAGATACCTACTCTAACTGGCTGCTGCCTTTTTTTTTTTTTTTTGCTTTTTTTCTTTCCCTGAGACAGGGTCTGACTCTGTTACCCAGGCTGTAGTGCAGTTGTTGGATCACAGCTCACTGCAGCCTCCATCTCCTGAGCTGATGCCATCCACCCGCCTCAGCCTCCCAAGTACCTGTGAGTACAGGCCCGCGCCACCATGCCTGGCTAATTTTTGTAGTTTTTATAGTTATAGGGTCCCACTATGTTGCCCAGGCTGGGTTTGAACTCCTATGCCCAAGTAATCCTCCCATCTTGACCTCCCAAAGTGCTGAGATGACAGGCATGAGCCACTACGCCTGGCCTCTCACCACTTCCATTCAACATTGTACTAGGAGTTCTAGCCAGAGCATTCAGGTAAGAAAAAGAAACCATATAGGTATCTGGCGAGTTTAGCAAGATTGTGGGATGCAAGTTTAATATACAGAAATCAATTGGATTTCTATGCACTAGCAATAAAGAGTGAATAATTGGAAATTTTAAAATACCATTTACAGTACCATAAAAATACGAAATATATTGGGATACATCTGACAGGATGGGAAAGACCTCTATATTGAAAACTGCAAGATATTGCTGAGACAAAGACAGTCTTTATGAGGGACTATACCTTGTTCATGGATCATAAAACTTAGTATTGTTGAGATTCTTTGCTCCTCAAATTCAGTGCAATGCCAATAAAAATACCAGCAGGCATCTTGTAGAAATTGACAAGCTAATTATAAAATTCTTTTGGAAATACAAAGGACCTAGAGGAGCCGAAAAGAACTTTGAATAAGAACTAAGTTGAAAGCCTAGCATTACCTAATTTCAATAATTATCATCAAGCTATAGTAATCAACAACAGGGTGGTACTGGAATAAGATGGACAAATAGAGCAATAGAACGAAATAGCCAAAAATAAGCTCTCATATATATGGATAAGTGATTTTTGACAAAGGTGCCCAGGCAATATGGTAAAGATAAGTCAGCCTTTTAAGGAAATGGTACAGGGTGGGCGCAGTGGCTCACGCCTGTAATCCTAACACTTTGGGAGCCCAAGGCAGGTGGATCACTTGAGGTCAGGAGTTAGAAACCAGCCTGGCCGACATGGTGAAACCCTGTCTCTACTAAAAAAAACACAAATATTAGCCGGGCATTGTAGTGGGCACCTGTTATCCCAGCTACTCAGGAGGCTGAGGCAGGAGAATCGCTTGAACCTGGGAGGCTGAGGTTGCAGCAAGCTGAGATCAGGCCATTGCATTCCAGCATGTGCAACAGAGCGAGACTCTGCCTCAAAAAGAAAAAGAGAGAAAGAGGGAGGGAGGGAGGGAGGGAGGGAAGAAAGGAGGGAGGGAGGGAGGGAGGGAGGAAAACAGTTGTACATACATATGCAAAAAAAATTGAGGGAGGGAGGGGAAACAGTTGGACATTCATATGCAAAAAAATTAATTTGGATCCCTACCTTGCAAGATATATGAAAACAAAGTGGATCACAAACTTAAATAGATCACAACATGGATCAGAAAACCTAAAACTATAACGTGTCTAAAAGAAAATAGGAGAAAATATTTGTGACCTTTTGCCTAACGGGGTTAGGCAAAGATTACTGGATACAACATCAAAAGCATAAAGTAACAAATTGATAAACTGGACTTTACCAAAATGTAAAACTTTGGTACTTTAAAAGACACTGTTAAAACAATAAAAACACAAGAAACAGACTGGGAGAAACTATTTGCATATTACACATCACATAAGGACTTCAGAATATATAAAGAACTATCAAAACAGGGAAAAAATGCAATTTCTAAAAAATAGACCAAGGATGTGAACATATACTTCAACTAAGAAGATATATGGATGGCAATTATGCATATTAAAAAAAGATGTTCATCAAGAGAATGAGAAGACAAACCACAAACTGGGAAAAAATATTCGTAAAAGACATACCTGATAAAGGATTGTTATCCAAAATATGCAAAGCTTAAAACACAACACTAAGAAAACAAACCTGATTTAAAAATTGGCAAAAGATCTCAACAGGCATCTCACCCAAGAAGATATACAAATGGCAAAAAAGCATAGGAAACAATGTTCAATATCATATGTATATGTCATTTGAGAACTGCAAATGAAAACCCTGAGATACTACTACACACCTATTAGAATGCAAAAAACTAAAACACTGACAATACCAAATGCTGGGGAAGATGTGGAGCAACGGGAACTCTCATTGCTGGTAGGAATGCAAAAATGCTACAGCCACTTTGGAAGACAGTGTGACTGTCTTCAGTCTTTCTTTTCTTTTCTCTCTTCTTTTCTTTTCTTTTTTTTTTTTTTTTTTTGAGATGGAGTCTCGCTGTGTCGCCCAGGCTGGAGTGCACTGGTGGGATCTCTGCTCACTACAAGCTCTGTCTCCCGCGTTCACGCGATTCTCCTGCTTCAGCCTCCCGAGTAGCTGGGGCTGCAGGTGCCCACCACCACGCCCGGCTAGTTTTTCGTATTTTCAGTGGAGACGGGGTTTCACCGCGTTAGCCACGATGGTCAACCTCGTGACCTCCTGACCTCGTCATCCGCCCACCTCAGCCTCCCAAACTGCTGGGTTTACAGGCGTGAGCCACCGCGCCCGGCCTTCAGTTTCTTATAAAACTAAACATAGGTTGGGGAGTACGGGCTGGTGTTAGACAATGTGAACTAGGAGGTGACCAAAGTTGACCTTAGAGTCAACTTAATTTTGCAGGTGAGGGAACAGAGGCCTAAACGACCACCGGCTCCCAGTAAAGCAGATTCGCGGCATACTGTGCTTTGCCCAAATCGGTGTTGTAGACACAGGGGCAGAGGCATGTTTGGAGAAAGGGTTCAGAATTTGGAGTGCGACAGACGTAGGTTGGAACAGAGCTCTGCTACTCGGTGGCTGCGCAGGCTCCCGCACACATCCTCCCGAACGCTCGGCTTCCTCACCAGTCCACAAGCCTGGGTGCGAGACGTCAACGCGCCGCTGAATGCGCAGGAGGCCGCGAGGCCGGATGGGCCGCCGCGCCGACGCCCCCTGCCGGCCGGCCCGCGCCCAACGCTCCGCTTGTGGGACGCCCGCGGCCGGATGCCCTCCGTCCGCTCCCTCCTCGGCCTCTTGGCGACCGCGGCGGTCTGTGGCGCCTTCGCCTTCCTAGGCTACTGTGTTTACCTCGACCGGAAGCGGCGCGGGGACCCCGCGTTCAAGCGCCGCCTGCGGGACAGTGAGTGGGACCGAGGCGGAGGCGCGGCCGGGTCGGGCAGCGCGGGCGGGCTGCCGGCCGAGAGGGCCCCCCTGTGAGAGGCCGGGCCGTGAGTGCCGCAGCTTCTGCCGAGGGGCCCGCGGCTCCCGGGCGGGCAGGACCACTGGGCCCACGCCTCCCAGCCAGCACGTGCTGTGTTGTGTTCGCAGAAAGAAGAGCCGAGCCTCAAAAGCCTCAGGAGCGGGGCACGCAGGTGCAGTGCTTTAGATCCACGCAGGTAGCTCAGTAGACGCAGGTCCGGGCTCGCTGGGTTTCTTGGCTCCTGGCGGGTTTCTTGGCTCCTGGCGGGCTCGGCAGCAAGTAGTTCCCTCAGCCGCCCGCCGCCCGCGCCAGGGAAGAAGCCTGCCCTCGCGCCCCAAGCACCGCCTCAGGCTCAGTCACTCTCCTCTCACAAAAGGGAGGGAAGGAAGGAGGGAGAAGTTGGAGTTGTAAAAGGGCAGCTGTAAAGCAAAACATTGTACAACAGGCACTTCTTTTAATTGGAAGAAGGAAGAGGAGGCTTTTGCCCTTTCAGAGCCGCGCAGGACACTTAGAAACCCAGACTGGCCACGGTCACCTGGCAGTAACTTCTAGATTGTTCTCCCGCAGGGTCTTTCTTGTAGCTCGGAAGCAGAAGGCATCTTCGTGTTTTCTAAGTCTGCGGCAGAATTTGATTAGTCCCTTTTTTGTTTTTAAGAGACGGGCCGGGCGCGGTGGTGCACGCCTGTAGTCCCAGCACTTTGGGAGGCGAGGCGGGCATATCACATGAGGTCAGGAGTGCGAGACCAGCCTGGCCAACATGGTGAAAGCCTGTCTCTACTAAAAATACAAAAATTAACCGGGAGTGGTGGTGTGTGCCTGTATCTCACCTACTCGGGAGACTGAGGCAGGAGAATTGCTTGAGTCCAGGAGGCGGCAGTTGCAGCCTGGGCGACAGAGCAAGACACTGCCTATAAAAAAAGAAAGACACAAGGGTATTCCTGTGTTGCCCAGGCTGATCTCGAACTCCTGGCCACAAGCAATCCGCAGTTGATTCTGGATGTTTACTTCGCTGAGATTGTTAGCCAGAGCACCTACACGTGTCTGTGTGATCTGAGATTCATTTGTGTGGTGGGCTGTGTCCCAAGGGGCAAGCAAACACATATATATGTGTGTGTGTGTGTGTATAGAGAGCACGCACATGCATGTGAACTAGAACATGTGCTCATGTGGGAGAGCAGATGGTACCACTTCTGGCAACATTGAAGCCTCCTCGATTTAAAGGGAGAAGAAATAGATTCTGCCTCTCAACAGGGATGGCAAGGTTCTGAAAGCACTTGTGTGACCGGGAATATTGCGGTAGCCATTTTTGAAACATGCAGTTTTTCCGGGGAAGACTTTGTAGCGGAAGTGACATTGAACTGAGCCTGGAAGGATGATGAATTTGTAGCTTGGTTTCAGGGGAGAGGACACAGGATGGAGGGAACAGCATGTGCATAAAGATGCAAAGTGGAGCATCTGCCAAGCCCATTCAGTAAACCAGTTTGGCAAAGGAGTCATACTGAGGAATAGTGGGTGGTAAGGTTGGAAAGCGAAAGTAGGGATTGAATTAAGGAAGGCTTGCTTTGAAGGCCAGGTTAAGGAATTGAGATTCAATGGAAGAATTACTGAAGATTTCTAAGCAGGAATTTTTTAAAAAGAAGGAAAGAAAGGCAGAAGATAACCATTCTTAGATTGATCAGGCAGGAGTGTACTTAATGGACAAGAAGAGAAAACAAGCTATTGCAGCGATTTAGATGAGAGGTAATAAAAATCCTAAACTATGGTGGTGTTAGTGGTAACTGGGAAGAATACAGTTCATGCCGACTGAGTAAAGGGTAATGGAGAGGCAGAGTCAAAGACACTTCTGGGGTTTCAAAATGGAATCACAGTAGAGAATAAAAGCCCATTTGACATAGTTAGCTGGGTAGGGAGTGTCCAAAGAGCTGGACATGGGAGTGGAGATGCCTTCCCTGACTTGACTGGGACAGAGCCTGTTACAGCTGCATGTCCCTCTTCATTGTCCATGGTTTCACTTGCACATTTATGTAATTATTTAATTAATGCTTTCTGTTTATTACACTAAACTCTGTGAGGGCAGACTTTGTTTTTTACTCTCCATTGTTTCCAGTGCCTAGAACGGAGTCTAGTGCGGTAGGTGCCCAGCAAATGTTTGTTGAATATTGTTATTCATTGTAGGCAGAGGGAAATACCTTGTGCAGAGGCAAAGAACATGAAATTGTAGTATTCAAGGAGTGTTATGGCCAGAGAGATAGCTGAGGGTCAGTTTAGTGTCTTATTGTGGAGGACTTTGCATGCCAAACTGAAAAGTCAGGACATTTTTCTGTTGTGGTGGATAACTAATGATGGTGACTTTATTTCAGAGAAAAGACACAATTATTTTGGTTTTATTTTTTAAATAAGACAATTCTGGTTCTAGTGTGGAGAAAGGAAGTTGAAGACAGGAAAATCAGTCAATGACAGTTCATATGGGAAATAATGATTTATATTAATATCATATTTTAATTATAATATAATTTAATTATATTCATATTAAGCCATAACTAAGTCATACTATAATTTATTGATATAAATCAATAATTATTAATAATAAATTGTTAATATTATATTATTTCCCATATAGGAAATAAATTATTTCAAGTGAGGAAGCAGCACAAGCAGGATTTTTCAAATGTTCTTTCATGTAATTGTCACAACTCTATTCTAATTTTTTTTTTTTTTTGACACGGAGTCTCACTCTGTTGCCCAGGCTGGAGTACAGTGGCATGATCACAGCTCACTGCAGCCTCAACCCTTTTGGGTTTAGGTGATTCTCCTACCTCAGTCTCCTAAATAGCTGGGACTACAGGTGCACACCATGTCCAGCTAGTTTTTGTACTTGTACAGTGACGGGTTTCGCAACATTGCCCAAGCCGGTCTTGAACTCCTGAGCTCAGGCAGTCTGCCCACCTTGGCATCCTGAAGTGTTGGGATTACAGGAGGGAGCCACTGTGCCTGGCCTCTATTCTCATTTTACAGATGAATAAACCAAAGCAGAGAAAGTCGTCTCTTCTCACCTTTTCTAGGGTCTTTCTTCCTCTTCTTCCCAGGACTTTCCCAAAGTATGGTCCATTGCTGCATTAGATTTACCTGGAGCATTTGTTAAAATATGGATTATTTGACCCTGATCCCAGCAATTCTGATCCAGTAGCCCAGGGAATTCTTACTGGCACAGTGACTGTCAGACTTTAGGATCCATAAGAATCACCTGAAGAGCTTGTTTAAAAATGCAAATTCCTGGGCCCTACTCCCAGAGATTGATTCAGTAGGTCTGGGTGGAGCCCAAGAAACTGCAGTTTTAACAGCTCCTTCAGGTGATGCTTTGTGAAACATGGGCCTTGGGTTCTGTACCCTTCCCCCTCTCCCTAGAAGATCCTTGCCTTCTCCAAAAGTGATTTCAAATGTGCTACTCTAGACCTGGTGTCCCAAGTTTCATCTGTCTACCAGACTCTGCCATCTGGACGTTCTATTGGCACCTCATCTTAGTGTGTCCAGAAGTAAGTTCATCATCTCCCCCCTTGCCACTGCACCTACTCCTGTTTCCTTACGATGCTCCTGGTGTCACTAGCCTCCCTGCTATGACCCTGATTCATCTTGTTTAACTGTCAGCTTCATCCATCATAAACAATGACCAATTCTTATTTTCAAATGCTCTATTTCATATATATATATATATACACATATATATATATATCCCACTTGTCTATTTCTATTGCTTCCCTGCGACTAAAGGCTTTTATTACCTTTTACCCAGGTTATTGAATAGTTTCCTAACTTGTCGCCCTGCCTCTATTCTTATGCTGTTAGAGTAAATTTCTTCTAAATGGCAGCTCTGAATATGTAATTCCTTGCAGTAGCTCCCTACTCCGCAGATAAGACCAGCTTTGCTGGGCACAGTGGCTCACACCTGTAATCCCAGCATTTTGCAAGGCCGAGGTGGTCTGATCACCTGAGGTCAGAAGTTCAAGACCAGTCTGGCCAACATGGTGAAACCCCATCTCTACTAAAAATACAAAATTAGTTGGGCATGGTGGCACATGCCTATAGTCCCAGCTACCCGGGAGGCTGAGACAAGGGAATCGCCTGAACCTGGGAGGCAGAGGTTGCAGTAAGCCAAAAGTTGCAGTGAGCCAGGATCATGCCACTGTACTCCAGCCTGGGCAACAGAGTGAAACTCCATCTCAAAAACAACAAAAACAAAAACAACAAAACCAGCCTCAGCTTGGTGCTATGCCTTCGATGGGTGCCTATTCCAATTGACTGCCTTATTTTCCTAGGGATTGGAAATAATATATGTAAAGTTCCTAGTTTATAGCTGGCCTTCAATAATGGTTATATTGTTGCTACATTTACCCTATCATGGCCAGCACAGTGGCTCACGCAGGTAATTCCAGCACTTTGAGAGGCCAAGGCGGGTGGATCACGAGGTCAGGAGTTCGAGACCAGCCTGCCAACATGGTAAAACCCCATCTCTACTAAAAATACAAAAATTAGCTGGGCGTGGTGGTGTGTACCTATAATCCCAACTACTCAGGAGGCTGAGGCAGGAGAATCACTTGAACCCGGGAGGCGGAGGTGGCAGTGAGCCGAGATTGTGCCACTGTACTCCAGCAAACAAACATTTACCCTACCATAATCCAGCTAATTAAGTTCACTTGGTATGTTCCCTGCAATTTTGCGTTGCTTATACTTTCCTCATCAAACTTTCAATGAACCTCTCCACATCTCAAACACTATCTTTTCTGAGAAGCCTTTGACAATTCTCCAACTAGATGTAATGTCTCCGTACTTTGAGCCCCAGAGGACATTGGACTTCTTGTTGTACCTACATGATCCCTTTCCCTTTATTAGACTGTGAGTCCTTGGGGATGGGCACAGGGTTCTTGGTCTCCAGTTCCTTCCAGCTTTTCCTGGAGTGTCCTGCCCTTGCCAGTCCTCACTAAACATCTATTGAGTAAAACCTCTGATGTTACTGATTATTAGTCTATTTGATGATACAAGCTTAAAAGATGACCCCTGGCTGGGCGCGGTGGCTCATGCCTGTAATCCCAGGACTTTGGGAGGTTGAGGCGGGCAGATTACAAGGTCAGGAGATCAAGACCATCCTGGCTAACAAGGTGAAACCCTGTCTCTACTAAAAATACAAAAATTAGCTGGGCGTGGTGGTGGGTGCCTATAGTCCCAGCTACTTGGGAGGCTGTGGGAGGAGAATGGCCTGACCCCGGGAGGTGGAACTTGCGGTGAGCCGAGATTGCGCCACTACACTCCAGCCTGGGCAAGAGAGTGAGACTCTGTCTCAAAAAAAAAAAGGTGACCCCTTTCCAGGCTCATTGCATTTTAAAAAGAAAATTCTTGGGGGAAAACAAAAACAAAAACCTTACAGATTTGAAACACTGGAGCTGAAGTAAATGGCAGTGGAGTTGATATTTTGGGCTAGGGTTTGCTCAGTGTACCTTGAAAGACTAGCCCTAGATGTAGTACCAATGATGATGCCATCTTGTGGCCATGGTAGCCTTCATGAACCAACCGCAGTAAACCAAAGCATCCTTCTGAACACTCACTCCCCTGCCAACCCCCCACCAGGTCCTTTGTTCCTTTCCTTTTGAGGGTGTGAGTACAGAAGGCTTAGCATAGTTTCTTGTTTCCCCTAATAGAGAATTACTGTTGCATGAACAGGTTTCACTACTAAAAAGACCAAAATGACCTTGTAAGCCAGAGAAATCATTGCAACCAAATCAACAGGCACTGTTAATATCCTGGGCAAGAAAATAGTTTTGCAACGTACAAAACTACCTTTGTTATATTAATTACAGTAGGATTTCTGCTATATGTGGGTGGGTAAAATATGGGATGAGAGTTACTTATTATAAGCATCTCAACTTAACAAATATGTCATGTTTTTTTAAATCACTTAAAATAATCCCATTTTAGAAAATTGGTTTAAATATTATAAAGAACAACTACATTTGTCATAACTTTAGATTTAGAGACTAGGTTCAAGATGTCATTTTTTTTTTTTTCTTTTTTTTTTTTGACAGAGTTTCACTCTTGTTGTCCAGGCTAGAGTGCAACGGTGTGATCTCAGCCAATTGCAACCTTCGCCTCCCAGGTTCAAGCGATTCTCCTGCCTGCGCCACTACGACTGCTAATTTTGTATTTTTAGTAGAGACGGGGTTTCTCTATGTTGGTCAGGCTGTTCTCGAACTCCCGACCTCAGGTGATCCACCCGCCTTGGCCTCCCATAGTGCTGGGATTATAGGCGTGAGCCACCGCATCCAGCCCAAGATGTCCTTTATAAATAAAAAATAATTTGATCAGTAACCATATACCTTACATTCATTACTCATTGTTAAATATTTTATGAATATTTTAGTTGTGGGATCCAGCGAAGAATAAAAAATTGCAAGAACTTTTCTTGCAAGAGGTACGGATGGGAGAACTTTGGTTATCTAGAGGTAAGAATGTAAATGTTCTTTTGTGAGTTACTTACGACAGTTTATTCTTAAGAAATATTTATTGATTAGTATTTGTATGTCCAATAACTAGCTGGATGTGTTAGCCAACTTCCCTCACTAAAGAAAAACTATCCCAGCATGTTCACTTCATCACACTGTACTCTTGCATTATGTTAGAGTTTAATGTTCAAGTTGCAGACTTGGAAGTGGGCAAACTGAGTAGCAAAGCCAAATACAAAAATACCTCATTTATGGTTATATAAAATTCTAAGTCAGTGAGTTTTCCAAGTGACTA